TCTCTCTTTTTTTCTCTCTGTATGTGTGTGTGTGTGTGTATGTGTGTGAGAAGAGAAACAGAAGAGCGGGGGAGGGAAGATGAGAAAGCACACCCTACATTGGGGGTGGCTACACTGCACTCCCTTCTCCAGTCTCCTCTCTGGATTTTGGTCATGCATGCACACACGCCTGGCATTTTTCCAAGTCCAGGACTGAGACCACACAGTCAGCCATGTGGGATCAGGCTACTTTAATGACCACGCCACCTGGCTGGTCCGGAAATATTCACATTTTACAAATCAAGTTAAAGAGGACCAGCAGTTGGCATAATGGCTATGTCGTTGGACTCCCATGTAGTCGACCGCAGTTCCTGTGTCCTGGACACAGTGGCTTAAACTCACGCCGGGCGCGTGTGCGTGCGTGCCCAAGATCCCGAGAGGGGTGATTTCTCGCTTTCTCGGTTTCCATCTTTCTGGTGAGTACACACACTCTATAGCAAAAACCTCTCAAAAGAAAAAAAAACAAGTAAAAAATACAAGCCTCAGGGCCAGCAGGTGGCATGGTAGTTAAGGGGCTGGACTCTCACATGGCTGACCACAGTTCAAGTCCTGGACCTGGTGGCTTGCTTTCTAACTTCTTTCTCTCTCTCTCTTTCTCTCACTCTGTCACTCTCTGGTCAAATTTTTAAAATAAATAAATAAATAAAGTTTAAAAAAATAATTATTTTTAAAAAATACATGCCTCGGGACCAGCAGTTAGCGTAATGGCTATGTCGCTGGACTCCCAAGTAGTCGACCACGGTTCGCATCCTGGACCCGGTGACTTAAAACTCACTCCAGGCGCATGTGCGTGCGTGCCCAAGATCCTGAGAGGAGAATGGAGGAGAAGGGATTGCAGCGTGGTCCTCCCTCCTGGGGGGTGATTTCTCGCTTTCTGTCTGTCTGTCTCTCTCTGGCTGGCTGGCGAGCGCACGCGCCCTATAGCATAAACCTCTAAAAAAATTAAAAATACACGCCTCCACCTCCTTGGATGGTGCAGTGATCTGCCTCTCAGTTTGGCCCTCCACTAAGAAAAAAAGAAGTTGGTAGAAATGCACAGATGAGGGAAGACAAGCAGGTCCTCTCACGCACCATAGGTAGAAAACACACATTGACCCAAATTTAAGCAATATCTGTTGGAATAAAAATTGTCCATGTCTTGCATTCAGCATTTTCTATTCCAGAAATCCAATTACAAGTTCAAACATGCAAGTAGAAGTACAGTTTTCATTTTATTATTTTTTATTTCTATTTATTTTTTAATTTTTGTAGAGATTTTTTGCTATAGGACACATGCACTGAACAGAAAGACAGAGAGAGACAGAGACAGAAAGTGAGAAATCACCCCCCAGGGGGGATGGCCACACTGCAATCCCTTCTCCTCCATTCTCCTCTAGGGATCTTGGGCATGCACGCACACACGCTCAGCATGAGCTTAAGCCACCGGGTCCGGGACTCGAACCGCAGTTGACTACATGGGAGTCCAGCGACATAGCCATTACACTAACTGCTGGTCCCCCTGGTTTTTGTTTTAAAGACAAAATATTGTTAACAACCTGAGTCGCCATTGATAGGGCATGAACCTCCCCTCAGCGCATCACACAGCTGACAGGAAGAAGGAAGCAGCGCTCTCGAATTGGTAGGGATGAAGTGTCTTCCTCATAGATTCTTTTTATTTTTTTAAGAATTATTTAAGTTGGGAACCAGCAGTTAGCATAATGGCTATGTCACTGGACTCCCATGCAGTCAACCGCGGTTCACATCCCGGACCCAGTGGCTTAAAACACGCTGGGTGCGTGTGCGTGTGTGCCCAAGATCCCGAGAGGAGAATGGATAATGGATTAATTAATTTTAATTTGACCAGAAAATGAAGGACCAAGAGAGAGAGAAAAAGTGAGAAAGCAAGCCGTCACGTCTGGGACTCGAACTGCATTTGGACATATGAGACTACAGCACCCCAACTACCACACCACCTACTGGCCTACCTCAGAGATTCTCTGAGATGAAATTATTTAGTAAATGTAGAACCAACCTGTGGCATGGTGGTTACAGCAGCTAGCTCCCACATGGTCAACTATGTGGTTCAAGTCCCAGACCCAGCAGCTTGGAAAACATGCTGGGCACGTGTGTACATGCCCAAAATCCTAAGAGGAGAAGGGAGAAGGAATTGTGGTGTGGCCGTCTCCCGGGGGGGGGGGTGCTTTCTCACTTTCCCCCTCTCTCTCTCTGTCTCTGTCTCTCCCTTTAGCACGTGTGCCCTCTAGCAGATTTTTTAAAAAGAAAGAAACAAGTAAAGTGCTTAGTATAATGCCCAGCATGCAATATGCGCTCAATAAATGCTGTTTAATAACATCAAGTTATTCATGAAACAACTGAGGTGTAGGGACCAGAGATGGCAAAATGGTTACATCGCTGGACTCCCACATAGCCGACCGTAGTTGAAGTCCTGGACCTGGCATGTACGTACTTGCCCAAAATCTCATTCCAGGGTGCGTGTGCACACATGCCCAAAATCCTGAGAGGAGAATGGAGAAGGGATTGCAGCATAGCCATCTCCCTGGGGGCGATTCTCTCTCTCTCTCTCTCTGGCAAGCACATGCGCCCTATAACAAAAATCTCTCTCTCAAAAAGTTATCTATACCTCAAAAAATTGAGGTATAGATTATTAGGAAATGGGCCAGCAGGTGGTATGGTGGTTGGGGTGCCAGACCCCACCTGGCTAACCACAATCAAGTCCTGGACCTGGTGGCTTGCTTTCTCACTTCCCTTCTCTCTCTGTATGTCTCTGGTGAGCACATGTGCCCAATAGCAAATTCTTTTAAATAATAGCAACAATAAATAAAATTAAATAAATAATTCCTTTTTTTGAGGGGAGAGGTTTTTGCTATAGGGCGCATGTGCTTATCAGAGAGACAGAAAGCAGGAGATCACCCCCCGGGGGGGTGGCCACGCTGCAGTCTCTTCTCCTCTCAGGATCTTGGGCACGCACACTCACGCACCCAGCGTGAGTTTAAGCCAGCGGGTCTGGGACTCAAACTGTGGTTGACTACATGGGAGTCCAGCAACTTAGCCATTATGCCAACTGTTGGTCCCAAGAAAATCATTCATTTTTCCAAAAGATAATGAAAGGAAATGTGCTTCTATTTGCAAAGGGAAGAAGAGGCAGACACTGCGCTCGGACTGAGCACCGACCACATGCCACGCACTGCAGCGACAGCTGCCCGCGTAGCACCTCATTTCATTCCCCCAGCTAGCCCCGATCCAGGTTCTGTGACCCTCACCAGTTAGGACAGGTTTCCTCAGGCATTTCACAAGCGAGACAAGAGCTCGACTTGGTCTTAAGGGCCCCCACATCCAACTATTTCCTTCCTTCCTCCCCTCCTTCCTTCCTTCTCTCCCCACGTCTCCTCCTCCTGTCTCAATGTCCCGGCTGGACTACCAGCACGCACCGCCATGCCGCCCGCTGCGGTCTCTATAGACGGCATCTCTTTCACCCAGGCCAGCCTCGAGCTCCCCCCGTTCCTGGGATTAGGAGGGCACATTCCTGCACCCGGCCTTTTGCAGAGACTGGGAATCAAACCTGGGTCTCTCATGGGGTCCCAGCCTGCAGAGCACAGCATCTTAGCAGCCTGCGCCACACAGCTGCGCCTAAAACGTTGTCCCCTGAGTATCTGCGTAGACTGTTTCTAAAAGGATCAAACACAAACTGGTGCCCAAGGTCCCCCCGCCCCAGGGCTTTCGTAGAGAAAAGATACAGAGGGCCAGCGGGTGGCGTGGTGGTCAAAGCCGCTGGATCCCTCCCATCGGACTGCACCGGACTCAGTTTAAGTCCCGGACCTGGCCCCCTGAAAAGTACGCGCCGGCATGGTAAGAGCCCCAAGTCCCCAAAGGCAGGACGCATGGAGGAGGGGCGCGGCGCGCGCGGCGCTGTTTCCTCGCTTGCCTTCTCTGTCTCTGCGGAGGCTGCACCTGCCCGCGGGTGAGAGACAGAAAAGGCAGCGCAGGGCGGCCCTGCTCTGGACGGCTCGTTCGCTGGAGTCAGGTCTCCAAGTGGGATGCGGGGAAGAAGCTACCGCAAGCCCTCCCGGCCCGTCCGGCTGTTTTCCGTTTCCCCGTTCCCCCAGGGGAGGCAAGGTGCTCGGTCGCAGCTCTGCCCGGCTCGGCGCCACCTGCGCGGGTCTAGCCCGGGATGGGTCCGTCTGGGACGCACAGAAGCCGAGCGACAGCCCGAACTGCCCCCGCGCGTGGAAGGACCCAGGCTGCTGGGCACTGCCCGGGCCTCGGGCTCCCCTCTGCCACCCGAAACAGCGGGCAACTTCATTCTTCCAAACGGCTCTTTCCAGCCTGCCGCCCTGGCACCTGCCATCGGGCCACCAGGGAGACCTCCCGGTTTTTCTCCCCTCGCGGGACCCTTAGTTATCTTAAGAAGGAGCAGGGCAAGGGGGGTTATTGAGGACAGGGAGAGGGCTCCAGGACAGGAGAGCCGGGAGAGAGGGCCGCAGAGGGGCAGCGAGGGCGCAGGGTCCGGTGCTGGATGAGGAATAGGAGGCGGCGTCTCCGGGTGCAGCCAAGAACCGATGGACGAGGAGACGGGCCGAGCCCTCCCTGAGGGCCGCCGAGATAGAAGGAGGAACAGCCGGTGCCCAGGGAGGCAGGCACCAGCCGCTCCACCCCCTTTCCGAGCTCCCTTTTTATCCTGTTTTAGACCCTTTGTTCACCTAAGCTACGTGCCCCTAGATCTCCTTTAACCTGTTAACTTTTCTTTTTCTTTTTTGCCTGTTCCTCATTCTTGTCTCTGGCCGGCTCTTGCCGCGGGGCGGGGCCGGGCGTTATTTTGCACCATCGGGACGGGACGGTCAAGCTCTCTCGTCCCTCCGTCAAGTTTCTGTGCGCTCCAGGAGAGGGCCTCATCTCTCCGCCCGGCCAAGTTTACCATCCTGGACAGCTCCTAACACCTGCGAGGGTTCCCCTCGGAGACTCACCATGTTCAGAGCTCCCCGCTCCTGGAGGGTGGCAGGTCGCTCCCTCTGGACTCCCAGTGGTCAAAGCTCCCTCCTGCCCACAGGCTGTGGTTTTTATAGTCTCCAGGAAAGATGCAGATCACAGGGAGGAAATGACCCGCCTTTTCTAAGGCGCTCATTGGTCTGCCACTAGGCTGGGTGGCTGGGCTCCCTCCCTGGGGCACTCACCCAGGGGCGCTAGGAGCGCTTCCAGTCAGGGAGGGAAGCCAGAGCTAGGAGAACTGAGGGCGGGTCCCAGCTGCAGTGCTGGGGGCCTGAGGCCGACCGGGGCTCAGAACCCGGTTCGGTTCGTGTCAGCCTGGTGGAGCTGAAATATGCCCGGCATGTGAGCCCGCCAGAGATCCCTGGAGCTGGAAGGCTGGGGAAAGGGGAAGGCTGGGGAAAGGGGGTGGCAGCATGCCCAGACCCAGGAAGGGAGTGTGTGTGTGTGTGTGTGTGTGTGTGTATGTGATGTACACACATGTGTTCTATTTTATTGATAAAATAAGTACAACTTTTTAATTAAAAAAAAAAGAAGAAGAAGAAAGAGACAGCCAGTTGAAAGGGGCTTTCACCCTTTGGAGGCTCGCCCCACCCTGGACTTGGCAGTCATGGAGGCTGCCTCCCACCTTCCTTCTAGGACCCCAGGCCTCTGGGAAAAGCTCGAAAATCTAGCTGGCTTCCACACCTGGGATTCAGGAATTGTGACACACTCCCCAATTCTGCCAGCCAGGTTCTGAGGCTCAGAGAGGCCAAGCATGTTCGTGAGGGTGGCCCCCATAGCTGAGTCCATTTTGCTGTTAAATCTCTCCCCTAAAGTTTTGTTGTTGTTGAGAGGGGTTTTTTTTGCTATAGGGCGTGTGTGCTCACCAGAAAGACAGAGACAGAGAGACAGAAAGCCAGAAATCACCCCCCAGGGGGGATGGCCATGCCGCAATCCCTTCTCCTCCATTCTCCTCTCGGGATCTTGGGCACGCAAGCACACG